TGGCTGAAGATATTGAGCTTTTCCACCGCCTCTTGCCACAGATGTAGTCAATCTGATTCCTGTGTGTTCCATCTGGTGAAGTCCACGTGTACAGCCTCCATTTGTGTTGTTGAGGAACAGAGGAATGGATAAATGGATAGGTATGTGACAAAGTAAGTATAGTAAAAAATGATAGTATCTAGGTGGTGGGTGTACAGGTATTTATAATTCTTCCAACTTGCTGAACATTTAAAAATTTGTCTAATATTGGAAAATTATAATGCCAGGAGGCGGTTTTCTTGAAATGACAGGGAAGAATGTGCTTGAGACCCCAGATACTATGGCAACACAGAGAAATATCTACTGTGTTTCATGTCCTCCAGTGTCACCTGCATATGCCCTAAACTCCTTACCTATATCACAGAAACCTGCCAAAGCAGAATACATTCCCTTGGGAAAGGAACTCTGGCGGGCAAGTAGGCATCGGGTCCCATCTGACACCAGAGTGATCACCACAGGAGCCATCTAGAGAAAAGACGACAAAAATTGTTACTGAGCCTTTGGGGACATGGAGGATGAAGGAATGGATGATTTAAAAAAGCCTTTTGATTGTACAGCTTCTTTTTCCAGGACACAGTAGTGTCCAGCCTTCATGGATTACTGTCATCTTAAAGTGATGCTTACCTGTGGGTAATAGATGATCTTATTGGAAGGGCACACACGCTTGCTGCCAGCCATGTTCTTCTTGGTAGGCTGCCCACTTCTGCTGCAGAACTGATGGGCAGCATGCCAACGGAGAAGAGCCTGTGCCTGGGAACACAAAGATGGGCCTGGTTTCATTTGGAGAGAATGCAGGGCTTATCTATAACACCACTGGACTTGGTGGTACCTTCAGCAACTCAAATGGGAAATGCTACTCCATTTCCAGCTCACCTACTTTAACAGGTTATTAACTGTTTAAATATCAAGATAAGGAGACTATATGAACATGTTTCTTTAACATCAGAAGTATAAACAAAAGAGAGCATATTTTCCATGTATTATAAATTATTTAAAACAGATAAAATACATAAAGTAATATAATGAACTTCCATGTATTTATTATCTAGTTTAAAAATAAACATCTCTAATATGGTTGACTCCCTCCATGTACTCCTTTCCAATAAAGCTGGAATGTTTTTGCAACTGAAAAATGTTTAGAGCTATCTTTTTCAATTAAAGAGACTATCAAAAGTACTTTGTTGTTGTTGTTGTTGTTACGTGCTGTCAAGTCAGACCTGACTCATAGCAATCCCTCCTTGGGTTTCCAAGGCAGTAGCACTACGGAAGTAGATTGCCTAACCTTCCTTCCGAGGAGTGGCTGGTGGGTTTGAACCACCAGCCTTCTGGTTAGCAATCAAGTGTCTTAGGAACTACGCTACCAGAGGTCCAAAAAAAGTACTTTAGCAAGTGAAATAAAAAGTTGTGAGGAAAAATCATTAAAATATGTAAAATGACTTCATAGGAAAAACATGATAGTGTGTATATTATGTGATGGTCATTAAAAACATCTAGGAAACTGATGTAGCCTATTGCCATAGATTTGCATGTCCTTAGGAGAAAATGTTGCTTAAGGGTGGTTCTGGCAAAAACAGCTGTCTGCCTGCCTTTCTTCTATAAAGGGCAAAAGAAAGAATAAGCAATCTCCCTACAGCACATTTTCTTTCTACCAAGGTTTGTAGAGATCTGCAGAATAAGAAATCCAAAGTCATTCTAGCCTGGTGTATGCATGCCTTCACCTACATACACTGTTTTACTAAATCTCCTATAGAATTAAAGAATTAGAATTTACCATGGACAGCAAGGAGGCATCCTTCTCATTCAGCTGAAAGACAGCCTTCCTCAAGTCAGTGAAAGACCCCTTGAGCTCTGTCTCCATTTCAGGTTTCTGTAAGGAAGCTAGAAAATTAGGGAAGAGAAAGAAAACAAATGTCAAGCTCTGCCTGAGGGACCCTTTGTAATCTATCCTGTTAGAAGAGTGTTTCCTAAACTTGTCTAATAAGTCTCACCTGGGGAAAGTACAAACTATACAGGCTCCCAAGCCCCTACCTGGAGATTCTAAAGCAGCAGGTATGTAGTGAGGTCCTGAAACCTGTATTTTTTTTAGCAAGCACCAGGTGAATACCAGATATTCAGGCAAGTTTAGGGAAACATTAAAAGCCAAAAAACCTGTTGCCATCAAGTCTCTCATAGCAACCGTATGGAACACAGTAGACCTGCCCATAGGGTTTCCAAAGCTGTAATCTTTAGAGAAGCAAACTGCCACATCTTTCTCCCATGGAGCTGCTGGTGGGTTTGACCTGCTGACCTTTGGTTAGCAGCCAAGGGCTTAACTACTGCACCACCAGGGCTCCTCATTTAAGATACATAAATTGTATAAAGGAGTGTTGTCGTTAGCTGCCATGGAGTCAGCCCCCAACTCACAGCAACTGTTAAGGATTGAATATGTCCCCCAAAAAATATGTGTGATAAATCCTAACCCTTATCTGTGGTTATAATCCCATCTGGAATGGGTTTCCTTTGTTATGTAAAGAGGCCAAATCAGTGTAGGGTGTGTTTTAAGCCAATCACCTTTGAGATATAAAAAGACCAGATTAGACATAGAGAAACCAGCAGAGAGAGGGGAGACAGATGCCATACCACAGGAAGATCACCAGGGAACCAAGGAACGAGGACCTTCCCCCAAGAGCCAACAGAAAGAAAGCCTTCCCCTAGAGCCAGAACCCTGAATTTGGTCTTCTAGCCTCTTAAATTGTGAGAAAATAAATTTCTGTTTGTTAAAGCCGCCCATTCGTGGTATTTCTGCTATAGCAAAAACCTATAACAGCCCTAGAGAACTAAGGCAGTGACTCCACACACAACAGGATTCATAAGGTTTTGTTCTGATTCATAGGGTTTTCACTGGCTGAGTTTTTGAAGTAGATTTCCAGGCCTTTCTTCCTAGTTTGTCTTAGTCTGGAAGCTCTGCTAAACCTGTTCAGCATCAGAGCAACACACAAGCCTCCACTGACAAATGGTGGCTGTGCTTGAGGTGTACTGGCTGGGAATCAAATCTGGGTGTCCCACACGGAAGGCGAGAATTCTACCACTGAATCACCACCGCCCTCATACAAAGGCATAGAGGAACAGAGAATAACATAACAAACATCTGTGTGCCACCACCTGCATCAAGAAAGGAAGCATTAAAAATGCCCTTTGTTTTACTCAGAAATGATCAGTGCATGAGATCCTGGATAGAGTGGGAGAAAAATGTGCAAACAAAACTCAACATCATAAAAATGACCAGGATAACTTGTCTGATAGAAACTAGTGAAATCCCTGAGACTATGGCCCCTAGTCACCCTTCAGGCCTGGAATTGAACTCACTCCTGTGGCTTCCGGCCAAGTAATAGACAGGCATATAGGGTGAACATTTACACCAGGTAGATATACTCCTTAGAACAATCAATCTTGGGAGATCAGAAGTGCAGTATTTGCACAGGGAGATAGCTCAGAGGGCAGGAATGCATAGGAAAGAAGGACCCAGAGAAGAGATAACTACAGGGAGGAAGTGGGAAGAGCTGTTACATTGTCATGAAACAAAATGTGTATGAACTACTATGGAAAATGAATATGTACTGTAAACTTTTATCCAAATAACTAAAAAAAAAAAAAGAAATACATCCATTGTTTTCTTTTAAATGATGATGATGTGATCCTAATAGGTGGCAGTATTTTTATTTAATCTCCTTACTTAAAAAATAGGAAACTGACTCTTCTCGTAATCCCAAAATTTTCCTTGAACTCTTAACTGTTAGGTGAAACTCCAAAGTCTGAAAACCAACGGGAAGCACCCGTTAGGAATAATGTTACATACCATTTGTGGAAGAGGGACTATTCAGACCTAGATCCAGAGCAAACCATGCTTCATGCCGTTCAGAGCAGCCAATCAGTACAGAATCTTCTATCTTTTGTGTGTCCAGCCCAAACTTGCCCAGGAGTCTTTCCAACTCTAAGAAACAGAAAAGAAAGAGAAGGGAGAAAAAGAAAAACACAGAGGTTTTAATTGAACCAAAACCTAAAATCCAAACCAGCCATCGAGTCAATTCTGATTTATGGCAAGCCCATGTGTATCAGACCAGAGCTGTGCTCCATAGGGTTTTCAGTGGCTTCTTTTTTTAAAGTCCTCAAGCCTTTATTCTGAAGTACCTCTGGGTAGACTCCAACCTCCAACTTCCAACCATTTGCACCAACCAAGGACTTTGTAAAATTGAATCACCACAGCCACATATTAGATGTTTGAGAAATCATTTACTTCAGTTTGAAGTCTCTATATCTGGCTACCAGTCACTGTCCTGCAGCTAGTTCATTATTTATTTTTTAAAAATTTTTTATTGTGGTCTGGGTGCAAATTTACAAAACAGATGTTTTATATTCAACAGTTCATGTACATTTGATTTCATAGCCCCGATTACCATCCCCAACCATAAAAAACCCTTCTCCCCTCTCCTCCCTGTGACTGCCCCCTCCCTGTGCCTTTCTTATCCATATATTCCTGTCTGTCCAGCTTTCCCTGTATGTGAATGCTGCCCCTCTGATGTCTCATGGCTGGTTGATCTAAGGTGTGCATCTCTCTAGAGCAGGTGGGTGCATCTCCCTGGGGTATGTGTTCTGCACGTAGGTCTTTCTGCTATTGGGCTAAGAGTCAATCCACGGGAATGAGTCCACTTCTAGGCCTGAAGGGTAACCTGGAGCCATAGTCTCCACCAGTCTCTATCCGACCAGTCTCTATTCTGATCATTTTTGTGTTTTTTAATTTTGTTCCACATTTTTCCTCCCACTCTATCCAGGATCTCTAATTTTGATCCGTTTCCAAGTGGTTGGTATTAGTAGCTGGGCAGCATCTAGTTCTTCTGGTCTGGGTCGTGAAGGCTGAATCCTCATGGTCCATCTTATCTTTGGAATAACTATTTCCAGATGACTTTGATTTTCTTCACTCTTCTTTGCTCTAGATGAGAGGAGACCATCTTGCATCTTAGATGCATCTTTGATAGCTGCTTGAAAGCTTTTAAGACCCCCAGTTGCTACTTACCAAAGTAGGATATAGAACAAGATTTTTATGTACTATGTTGTGCCAACTGAGCATGATATCCCCCAAGACTCTGGTCCCGAGCTCTCAGGCCCAGTGATTCTCTTTCTCAAGGTGTTTGGTTTTCTCTGAGAAGCTACTCCAACCCTGTCTTCTGTTGCTTATTTAATGTATGTGGATAATTTTGTAGCACAAGTGCGTATGTAAGATTGTCTTCAGCCAAATCTATCCTTGGTCTAGGGTGAGTTCCTGTTTGGCTACCCCCACCTGATCTTCTCACCTGTCTATACATTTACCTGTAGCCTGGTGTTTCGTGCCAGTGGTAATGCTCTATTGTGCATGTAATAGTATTTGCCTCTGTGGTAGTTAAGTTTGTGTATCAACTTGGCTAGGCCTGGTTGAGTGGCTGGGCAGCTGGATGTAGTTATTCCCCATGTTAAGATTGCTAATCAAGTCTATGGTGGAATGTATTGGAGCAGCTGAGTAGCTGCTTTAGGGATGTGGTCTGCTTCCTGTATATAAGCAGCAGCTTTGGGAATGATCTCTAGCTTATGGCATGCTTGAACCCTGCATGTAGCCATGTTGTCATTCAGCAGCCTGCCATGTTCTGCTGACCTTGGGACTTTCAATGGACTTGAATTAATGGCTGCCCTGTGGTTTGGTAACATCGGGACTGTGCCATTTTATTTGTCAACCTTGGGTTTGTTAGGCTCAGTAGCTAGTAGTTGCTTGAGTAAAGAGATGCCTCAAGCTTCAGTGGGCCAGAAACAAGAGGCAGAGCTGCAGCCCAAGGTTGAGGGGCTTTCACACAGCCCCAAGAGCCTGGCACTTTGAACTCAGACTTCTAGCCTCCCAAACTATAAGAGAATAAACTATTTGTTCAAGCCATCCCATTTGTGGTATATTCTTATCAAAGCGGCACTAGGTAACCAAAACAGCCTCTATTGTCTGTATCTTTTATGCATGTTTCTGTGTCTTTTCTTTCCTCAATGTTACCACACTGGTCACATACCCTTTCCATACCACCCCTCCCCTGAACCAGCTAGTTTATTATATGACCTTGGTCGAATCACTCAACTTCTCTAGGCCTCAGTTTCCTCATCAGCAACCTAAGGAGTTTAGAACAAAGAAGGAATTCTTTCCACGTTTAAGACTGAAGTGTGTAATAGTCCGACTGTATCATGAAGGAAACATATTCCCTAATTTGTAAGATATATGAGAGTTAACTTACTAAGCACTGAAAATTAAAATTCACTGCCCTTGAGTCTGATCCGACTCATAGTGACCCCTTCTTACGTTTCCCAGGTGGTATCACTACAGAAATAGATTGCCCAATCTTCCTTCCGGGGAGTGGCTCATGGGTTTGAACCACCAGCCTTCTAGTTAGCAGCCAATGCCTTAGGCACTACTCTGTGGGCCATCCAATCTGCTGCAAATACTCAACTCTCATGTTGTAGTGCAAAACTAGCCATAGACAATATGTAAACTAATAAGTGTGGCTGTGTTCCAAAAAAAATGTATTTATAAAAATAGGTAGTGAACTTGGAGTGATCTATCATGGGAGAACAGAAGGGCAGTGTTTGCACAGGGAGACAGTGCAACAGCTTGGGGGGCGGGAGTGCATGGGATGGAAGGATACAGAGAAGAAGTAACTATGGGGAGCAAGTGGGAAGAGAGCTATTACATTGTGAGGAATTGTCACACAACTGACAATAGTCAATGTCATGAGACAAAATGTATATGAACTGCTGTATGGAAAATGTATTTGCTCTGTAAACTTTTACCAAGTTCACAATAAAAATTTTAAAATAAAGTTAGTGGGCCTGATTTGGACTGCCATTTTGCTGACCCCTGGTCTCAGTCATTAGTGGTCAATATCAACAAAAAAACAGTATTTGACTGGGAAACTCTGGATCATACACTAAATTATTAATTAGCAGAAGCAGTTAACACAAGCTTGAGACTTAAGAGATTGTTTGAAAACATCTGGACTCTAAAGTATTTTTCTAAGAGGTTCAGTATGGACTGAATTGTGCTTAGTGGCAACAGGCTAGTTTACTCTACTGGTCCACTCTTGGCTTACCTAATAGACTGTGCTGGGGGGCCAGGAACTGATGCTCATGCTCTGATTTCTGAAGCAAAGGAGCCAAGCTATGAAAGAGGTAAAATGCTCCCGTACGCTGGGCTTTTTTACATGCATCATCATCTTCCTTTAGTTCAAACATATACCTGTGTTTGGGAAATAATCAAAACATTACTAAACCACACTTAGTTTGTACAGCATTTCATCTCTGAAAATTCTGCTCCTATGTCTCTCTCTACCATGGTTATTTTCTTTCATTTATTTACATCCTAACTTGCTCCAAAGACAATCTGAAATGGCTGCAAGTAGTTCCCCTCTCTTGTCCTACTGTGTACCTTGCCCTACTGTGTACCTTGCTCATACTTCTGTGGCTGCACTTTTTTTTTTTAATTGTGATTTGGGTGAAAGTTTACAGAGCAAATTCATCTTCCATACAG